CATTGAAAGTAATGATATTTCGTTTTCCTTTTTTCCTCCCCCTCCAGCCTGTTCTTTTGCACTCTCCATCTCCCTCCTTGCTTGTCTCGCTTGCAGAAAAAAGAATTTTGAAGCCTTTTTTTGCTTGCCAGCTCAGAGAGATCAGCCTGGTTTTTGCAAAATAGTAAACAATGGCGCTTGATTTGGAGGCAGTGTAAATCAGAGCCTGAAACCCTGGCCCTGTTTGGCAGCCTGTGGCAGGATTCCCACTCCACTTAGCGATTCCGTGGGCACTGCCAGCGTCGCTGCTGCCAGGAGGTGCCCGCTGCCCTATTCGCAGCAGAGTGTCCGTGTAGGCAGCACCAGAGGCTGAGCTCAAAAAATCTGGGAGCAATTGAAAGCATTCCTGAAATTGGTAAAGTGTTTCCGAGTCTGCCTTTATCATTAACTTATTTTGAAAGGTTTGGGTGTGTTTTGGGGGGAAAGAGCTTTTTGTGTGTGTGTCTGCATTTTGGTCTGCTCTTGGATTTGCCCAAGACAGGTCGGTGGCCTGGCAATCGTCTATCTCCTGTGCTGTCCAACGGTTGTTATTTTTTTGAGGAGAGGGGGCAGCAGGAAAGAAGAAAGGGGTTTTCACCCAAGCCTCGTCTGGACCCTCTGCTGCTCTGAATAGGAGTGACTGCTGAGGAGCCAAACTGTTCCCCTTGCTGTGGACCAGCTGAATGGCAGCCAAAGCTTTTTTATCTGCCCTTTTCAGTTATTCATATCACTCCCACCACAACAGCCTTGAGGAGTTACGTTTTTTGTCTGTGTAAACCCAGAAGACAGTGTGTCTATTGACCCTACTTCTGTTCCCGGAATGTGTCTTAGAATGTGTCTCAGCAAAAAAAAAAATCCTCGTTCTTTACTGTTACCCGAGACCGAAATGGTAGAAAGTGTAGTTCTCCTCCTCCTCTACCCCCCAAATTTCTCTTTAGTTTAATTACCTGTTTTCTTCGACTCGGAACCTGACTTTTGAGAGGGGAAGGTAAATGCAAGTAACACAGGACAAGAATTTGTTCCAGCCTTCATTCTGTGAAGCATCATGTTATGCATGGCAACGAGCGAGTGTTTTCTTACTCCTCTGAGGTTTGCTGTGCCGGTTGTGACTGTTCTCAAATGTTTTCTCGAATTTGTTAACGCTTCTTTGTGGGCTTCGGTCAAAAGTAACCAGGTCTGTTTTCAGCTCTCTACATAAGGCTTTCATAGTGCTGCATGTTAGCAAGGACTGCTAAGAACTTTCCCTATCAGTAATTCTTCTATCACATTCTGTCACGTGTAGCGAGAGCTACACGCCCTACAAAGCTGCATCACGCTGCCCAAATGATGATTTTTTTCAAGCATGTGTTTTACAGGTGAAAAGTAGGTTCAGGTTAAATACAAAATTTGAAAATAAACTGCCTTTCTTCTTCCCCCAAATCCCTTGAATGTATATGCTGTTTTCTTTTTGGTGTATGCTGTTTTGTTCTTTTTCATGATGCAGAAAGGTAACCTCATTGTTTTCCCCCTTTAAGAAGGGGAGAGGATGTTTTTTGCTGCGTTACAAGCACCTAGTCTTGACATCTCCCTTACAACTGAGAAATCTGCTGGTCTGTAGGAAATCTGGGTTGTGGTTTCACCTGTGGCGCTGGGAACCCGAGCACTTCCTCGGTCATCCCTGAAAGGAGCCTGACAACCTCGTCACTGTTTCTGAGGTTATGTCTAGTTCTTCAGAAACTGCCTGTTCCAAAGCCTTGTCTGTCTCCAGAAAATACCTTCGGATCAAATGTTTGAAAGTTAGTTCCAAGAAGCCTGAAAAATATCCTCTCTGAAGCCATCTGTGCGCAGTAAAGAGTGGTCAAGATGGCAAGAATATATTTGGTTTTTATTTTCTGTGAAGCTCAACTATAAATTGCTCCTAAAACAGGCTCTTCCATAAAGCTCCTGTGACTCCATGCAGGTCCAGGCCACTGCATCCGCTGCTCTCACTGATGAAACTTAATGTCGCCGTCTCCTTTTTATCATTCTGTGCTTCCAAGAGAATACAGGAGCCTGGCTATAAAATAAATTCTGTTAATACTAAAACTGATGATATTAGAGTAAGTGACACAGTCAGTGAAGTAATAAAAAAAATATCCAGGCTTTTTTGTATTTTTATTTTAAGATCAAAATATCTCACTGGAAAAACATTTAAGCCATTTTGAGCTTGCCAAATGCATGAAGTAGCCAGGAGAAACAAAACATCACTGGGGCACTCATACAAAAATTCTTGTTTTTTGGAACGTACCCAATTTTACTTACTCATGTGCTGTCTGCTTTTATTTGGGGCCAGTTAAGATAACTTTGGAAAGTGAGAGTCTGCCCTTTATACGTTTAGTTCCGAGTTGCTTTGCTTGTATCCAGCTAAGGAGCTCGCTTGTGAGAATGAGCTCTGATAGCTGCAGGCTCACAGGATCTGGCCTGAAATGGGCAATAATGGATTTCTTGTTGTTCTGCTCCAACAATGGAGTGGAGGGACGAATTCCTGAGTTGCACTATTGGAAAAAAAAGACATGAAGTGGCCTGGGTCCTTCCCCAGAAGTCAGCCCAAACAATGGGCTGCTCTTAGGTAGCCGATGAGAATGGGCCACACAAATGAATATTGATCTGCAGCAGCAGCTGGGCCCGGGCCGGGCTCGGGACGCCCGTCGGGTGCCCCCAGCTGCCGGCCCCTCCGGCCTCCTCTGTTTGGCTGCTCTGTTGGGGTTGGACAAGGCTGTCTTGTTGCCCATGTGCGGGGAGGCTTGTACGAGCGTGCGGGTGAGGAAATGCAGTAAATTACGTAGCACCCAGCACGCACACAGGAGATGTCACTTCTGGGGGTCTCATTGCTGCAGGTAAATTCTGTGATTTTTATGTTCCCTTTGCAAGAGTTAGTGGTCAGTTAAAAACCCTTGAGGCACTTTTCTAGATTCACTTATTTTAATCACTCTTTTCCATTTGATGCTACTGTTTCATCTCCTGTTATGCACCCTGTACCCAGGCTTTTCTCACTGTGCTGGAATTTTTCTTTTTGTAAAAAGAATGTGAGGGGGATCAAGGAAATTCCTATGACTGACTGAGTTTGCAAAAGCAATAGCTGGATTGAGGTGAAATAAGTTATTAGGTGAGATGTGTGAGCTGCACTCATGGGAAGGAAACCTATTTTTTTGAGATTTGAAGCCTTCTGGCAGAATTTGCCACCTTCCAGTTATGGTTACTAAAACGTTCCATGATTTGGTATTTCAAGGATTTATTGTCAGGAAACTATTGTCTGCTTGGAACCATTCAAATGATAACCTAATTCTGAGCTGTTTTTAATAGTAGCCCCCTTCTTAGAGTATGTTAACACCATTTATTGAACTATTTTCCCTGAAACACCCAAGAATGCTTGACGTTATTTTTTAAAGCAATCTTTCCTTCTCCTTTCTTAAAGGGATTATTCCAGAATTGAGGAAGTGACTGAAACAGAAGCAATCTTTCCTTCTCCTTCCAGAATTGAGGAAGTGACTGAAACAGTGTTTAAGAAGGTCAAGTCAGCTCTGGTGCAGGACTAGGTAGACAGCGGTAGGGGAGAAGACTTCATGACTGCCTGAAAAAACCAGTGTGACCAGGAGGGTTTGGATGTTTAAGGCCAAATCCCAGGTCCACTGAAATGGCTGGCAAAGCTCCCACCGACTTCCCTGGAGCAAGTGTTGAGTGCCCAGCCCTGGCCTGGGCTCCCTTGGGACAGGTGGGAACGTGAGGGTTGAAGGGCAGCGCGAGCAAAACGGGTGCAGGGAACACGAGGGAGCAGGGAGCTGTGCGGGAAGGGGAGGAAGAGCAAGGAAGGAGGCAGCTACAACAAACAGATGGGGCAGGCAGCAAAGGAGTAATATTGGGCAGCGAAACAGATGACAGAAGGCCTTAGGAAAAAGAATTGTGAAGAGAGAGAGAGCTGAAAATATAACAGGGTCACTCAGGGACAGATTGTTTCAGGGAAAGAAGTGAGGCTAATTGCCCACTGCTCTGCTGTGTTAGCTGGGTAGCAAAGCAAATCGTCTGCGTGGGTAAAAATAGGAAGGGAGCTGTGTCTCAGCTGCTGCTTGGGCTGCCCTTTCCTGGTGCAGCTCGTGCCAGCCCTATCTGGGGAAGTCTAGATGCAAGAATATTGCAGAGAGCACTGGGAGTGTGAATTAAGGTGTCCTGACTTGGTAACGTGGCTAACGAATTAGAAACAAGACAAAAACAACCTCCTCATCCTCATCTCCCCTTGCCCCAGCACGTGTCGCTGGCCAACGTGCAGGCAGTTTGTTACCAAAAAGCAGGTGCCATCTAGCAAGGCAGTAAGGGAGCAAGAAGCGTGTCTACAAATGTGCAGAGAAAGGTTGTGCTCGGAGGCAGGCTGCTAGTGGGGTAATTCTTCATGGGGTTTTAGGTGCAATGGTAAGAGGTGGTTCACGGAATGCAAAATAGCTCATGGAAATAACACATTGCAACAGAAGCAAAGGTAGTTGTCCCAAGCCAAAGCCTGCTGGCAGGGAGATGGGCTGCTCGCTGTCGTGGATATAGCAGAAAGACCCTTCTCCCTTCAGCACAGAAGGGAAACGGAGGGGATGTTCGTTCTGAGGGTTTATCTAAGCTGTGAGAACTGTTACTTATGCAAACCAGGAACACAAGTTTTCTTTATGCCTTACTCAAAATCAAAGATTTAGGTGAAAATTCTGAATTCAAGGCAGGCGTATGTGCCAGTTGAACAGAGGGCAAAGCCATGCCACGCTTGACAGAAGAATGAGGACTGATCTCCAGCAGTACACGCTGGAGCCTTAAGCTTGTTGATGAAGCGGATGACAGGAAATAGCAATAAACTAAAAGGGGAAGTGTTCAGAGCCCCATATGCTGATGCTTCTGTACTGCCTGTTGGCAAAATAGCAACACCGGGAGCAATGCAATGCAATTTATTTCTATTTAATACAAATTCTACATTTCTTTTGGCATTTCTTTAGGCAAGACAGCAAGCCCAACTGCGACATCAAATGGCAGAAGACAGCAAAGCAGAATACTCTTCCACTCTGCAGAAGTTCAACAGTGAGCAGCATGATCATTACTACACACACATACCAAATATCTTCCAGGTGAGGCCCTTTGGCACCAAGCTAGAGCAGGCTGTGCTCTCCTGGTGATAAGGAGAGAGGGATGTACTGCGCACTGGTTCACTTCTGTCACCCTGTGCCAGTTCTGTTCCTGTTGACAAATTTTATTTGCTGTTTACTAGTCCAAGAGCTGGGGAGCTTGGTGTGATAAATTGCCTCTATCTCTTAAACGAGATGCCGAGTGATTGGTAATAGATCAAGTACAAGACATTGGATTGTCATGACAAATTACAGCAGCCATTTGGGCTGCTCGGAGTCTTGTTCTATTAAGCTCTTGTGTCCACGCAGCTGGGGAATGAGAGCATTATTTGCCTTCTTGGGGAAGGAGTCAGCTGTTTGTCCTTACATCTGTAAAGCCTCCCAGTCCTTTCTAACCCCTTCTCAAACAGCCTGCACAGATGTGCAGATGTTTAAACCACAGCAGCTCTGTGATAGTGAATGTCAGCGCATAAGTACATTTGCTGATTACGTCTTGAGATGTTTAGGACAGACTGTAGAGAAAGAAGAAAAAAGCCAACAGCTTTATACTGACCCAAGATCTGAGTTTGTGCTTGAACAGAGAGTAATGGAGTGGAACACCCGATGACTGTTCCAGTGTAATGGGTCATAAGAACCAAGAAGTGGAAAATACAAGCTCTCCAAGAGAGAAATTGTCTCATGTTTATCATCTGATCAGAAATAACTGATATTTGCATAGCATATTCGTAACTTCATCTTTTAGTTAAACAGACATCTACTTGTTTGCCTCACAATCTTTCAAACCAGAATTCTGAGAAAAATTATTCTTGGCATCATATACAGACTTCTTGCCATATTAAATCTGATAAGTGTTCTGATTTGTAGGTAAGCATGCTTAAAGTTCTGCAGAAATACACTAGTAAGCACCAGTATTTTAATCTCTGGAGTGTTGAAATATTATTTTTTAGAAAATGTCAGTTGTTTCCTTTAATTGTAGTATTTTGTTGTTTTTGCTGGCTTTTGGATCAGTCAAGGTTAGGTTATACAGTTTTGTTTAGGTTATGCAGTTGTTCTGTTTTGTTTTTAATTTGACAACATTCCATTAAATTCCTGCAGCCTAATGTGAAACAGGCAGTTCTTGTCCATGCCCTTCTGTACCCTGTTCTAATGTGCTGAAATAGCGTTTGGACACATCCACCTTCCCTGTGTTCTAGCCCACAACCATCTCTGGGATGGATCTTGGAGATCCCAGCCCTGCATCTAGTGACCAACAGGGAGTGGGTGTTGAGCACGTTTGGTGGGAACTACCTGCAGAGGAAGGTTTTTGGAGGGTGTGGAGGGGGTGAGAATATCAAGTTTTTGGTTGCTCCATTTCTCTATTGGAATGGAAATAAAGTCTTTCAGAACATGTCACAAAATAATGAAGAAACTTTCAGCTTTCCAGGAATTACATTGGAAACCCTAGGAGATGTCCTTACAAAGGCTGGGATTTTGGTGAATAAGTATTTTCAAACATGGAAAGTTAATGGAAAAAGCCCTAGTTAGAGAAACACAGATAATATGTTTAGAAAAGTATTTTGATATCTGAGGGAACAGTGTACATTTTGGCTTTCATGAGAGCAGCAGAGTTCAGCTGTTCTTAAATCATAACTTTAAAAGGGGATGGTATATGCTAGGGAGATAAATTGATTGAAGCTGCGAAGCTGCTTTTGATACCTGATCAAAATCAAATGTAATGTTCTAGAAAATACAAGAAATGGAAGAAAGAAGAATCGTGAGGATAGGTGAATCCATGAAGACTTTTGCGGAGGTCGACCGCCAAGTGATCCCCATCATTGGAAAGTGTCTGGATGAAATAACGAAGGCGGCAGAATCAATTGATCACAAGAACGTGAGTGTCGCCTTGTTTGAATTGTTGCTGTCTTCACTACTGATCACTTTGTATGGAGTCTTAAAACTTCATTCCAGGCCACAGTGTGAGAGCTCTCTAATCATCCTTCTGAATAGGATTGCTACTCTTTGTATTACTCTCATTCCAGATATCTAATAATCGCCAATTCTTATACAGATGGATTTTCTGTATGTTTCTTTATGACAATCAAACAACTGAATATTGTAGAAACAACATTTTATTTCAGACCTTCTTATAATAAAGTACTTACAATGATGGCTACATAAATACCTGAATACAACTTTGGCATATTTTGCTGTTTTAGAATTCTTTCTTTGATGATTTGAGACTTCCTGAACGTTATTGTAGGAATTGAAGACAACAATTGGAAAGTGTCTGGATGAAATAACGAAGGCAGCAGAATCAATCGATCACAAGAACGTGAGTGTCGCCTTCTTTGAATTGTTGCAGTCTTCACTACTGATCACTTTGTATGGAGTCTTAAAACTTAATTCCGGGCCACAGTGTGAGGGCTCTCTAATCATCCCTCTGAGTAGGATTGCTACTCTTTGTATTACTCTCATTCCAGATATCTAATAATCACCAATTCTTATACAGGTGGATTTTTGGTATGTTTCTTTATGATTATCAAACAACTGAATGTTGCAGAAACATTTTTTCAGCCCTCTTATAATAAAGTACTTACAATGTTGGCTACGTAAATACTTGAATACAACTTTGGCATATTTTGCTCCTTTGCTGTAAATTCTTTCTTTGAAGATTTGAGACTTACTGAACGTTATTGTAGGAATTAAACAAAAAAACAACTTGCCAATGAAGAGTTTCCTGATATACAGCTAACACAAGGGCAAATATGTTTTCTGTTCAGTTTTCAAAATAATCTGCTGCTTTCATAAATGAAGTCTCTACTGCTCTTTCAACCCTCTCCTGGATCACATTAGTGCTTCAAACACAGACCACGTGTGTCGTGCTGCCTGTTGGAATTTCCCATCCTTCGTTTTCACTGGGTTCCTTTCTGTGCTCTTCGTTGCCCAGAGCCTGGAGCCTGCAGTTAATTGGTGGCATAAGCCTTAGGCTGAGGTTTTGAAATGAATCCTCTCCTCCCGCTCAGCAGTTGCCTTGCGCAGAGCAGTACAGGAATGGGAAGCCGAGGGGCTGGAAAGTTACTGCTGTGTTGGGGTTGGAAGAAGGGGCAGATGAGACATGAAATTCATGCTGGAACCATGTGCCCTTTGGTGTACAACTCCTGGTGCTGCATGCAAAAAATCATGTTAGGGTGAGATTCATTTCTAGACCTGTTCTGTTCGAAACATTTAGGGAGACTTTTGATGAAACACCTAAGGTTTAAGCTAGATTTTTGAATGGAGATGGATTTTACGTTCAAGTTGAAGGTTGTCTCCTTATCATTTTCAAGCCTGGAAAAATTTGAATAGGAAAGCCTAGCTAGATCTGAGCCTTAGTCCACTTTGCATATGAGGTTGTATTCTAGGAAAGCAGAATGCAGGGACAGCTGGTGGTAACACAGCTAGCACAACAGTGAGTAAAACCAAGAGCTGCTGAGGAGGAGGCACTGTTGTGTGGAACTCGAGGCCCACACAGACATGTGTTTCCCAGCTGGGAAATCTCCAGGATCTGCTAATCATAAAAACCCTGCAACAGCATCGCTAAACTTGGAATGTATGAGTTACCTTAGAAACCACGAAACTGATACAAGGCAATGGTTTATTTGAAGTTCTTTCTGAGCCCTTGACTGGTGTTCTTTGTTGTTATCACTTTTTCTATCCAAAAGAATCACATTCAGAATTACTGAGGGATTACTCTTGCACTA